TAAACAGGGTTAAGTGACTTCCTCAGGGTCACACAGCTAGTGTCTGAAGCCATATTTTAACTTGGGTCTTTCTGACTCCAGGCCTGGCACTCTTAACCACTGTGCCACCTAGCTGCCCCAGAGCATTTTTACAATGTACAATAAAAGTACTGCAATGCATTAGATGGACAAGAGTATAGAGATTTGGGAAATATTAACTTTCAAAATTTAGAACCTAGGCAACCTAGTCACTGCTTCTGATATTAATCATGGAAAGAAATCCCAGGGTCTCCTATTGATTCACTGTCCTGTTAAGTCTTCATCCTGTTTTCTATTTCATGGTGAGTAGGAAATGATCTGGCTTGGAATATCAGCATTCTTACGCCTCCCTTTTATCACCAATGAGGTGGCTGGGTTAGATGACCTATAAATTTACTCCCAGCTCTCAAGCTCTATTACTTCTTTTCTTGCCACTTGTCCAAGGTCCTAGTAAATTAGATGCAGAAGCCAGATTAAAATCCAAATCTCTGGACTCTTAACTCAATGATCTTTTAAATAAATCTACTCCCTGGTAATCAACTTTTAATCTTCATGTTTCCAAATCTAATATTTAATCCTCCTAATACCTCTGTAGCCCAGATGCAGGAAGACTCATCTTTCTGAGTTCAAATTTGGCCTCAGACACTTAGTAGCTGTGTTCGCCTCAGTTTTTTCATCTGTTAAATGAGCTGGAGAAGGAAATGGCAAACCACTCTAGTATCTTTGCTAAGAAAACTCCAAACGGAGTCACAGAGAATTGGACTCAACTAAAACAACAATGCCTCTGTGCAGGGCTGGCACTTTTATCCTAAGTATGTGACTTGTACAAAGTCATGTAGCTGCTTAGTGGCCGAACCAGCATGGGATCTCAGATCTTTACACACAACTCCTGTTTCTCTTATAAAGGGAGTGATACTGGGCCATCCTTTACATTTCTCTTCTTTGGTATAAGGTCACTGAATACATAAGCTGATGACCACATAGAGCAAATTGAAGATCCTCTTAGGGCTGCTTAGGAAGCAGCAGGAAGTACTGCTAGTCATCACAAGGGTTATCACCATTAACAGGGAGAACCTTCTGTCTTCCATCTTCTCCCTTTCCCCATAAGAAATCTGACACAGTGCCTCACTTGTGCTGCCTCAAAATGATCTAGTGTAAATCGGTGTGCTCTTTCAAACAGCTTTGGAAGCTCTCCAGGTCTGCTTTTCCAAGGGCATGAAGATACTATCTACAAGCAATAAGCTGCTGCTGCTGTCATTGTTTAACAGCCTCATTTGCTCAATTACATTCTTTGAAACCATCATGTATTGTGAGGTAGGTTATCATTGGCAACATTAGAGGGATGGAAACCATGCATGTGGTTAAGTATAAGCCACTAGCTAAAATACATTTGAGCACTGTGGAATGATGGGAAAGTACACATTGGAAATGAGGGTATCACAGCTTCCTCCCCTAGTCCCCAAACCTCCCAAACCACCATTCACCTAAAATGCCAGCTCTTTCTAGACACTTTTTTTAGTCTATCTAATATCTTTCTCTGGCTCCTTCTTATATATGGAAATATTATTCCTTGTAGTTCTCCATGCCAAAATTGTGCCTGCCACTGGACTGTGTATGTTTTACTGTTCCAAGATTGATTCAATGTTCTGCATCCTTTTGTCTATGGCTTTTCATGTTTCTTAACAGTGATATCAGACCTAGATCTAAGAATTTTCTTTTTAATCTTTCTTAGCTGGACGGCTGCACAAAAACAGAAGGCAAGTTGGCTTAGGTCCCTGGGCTGTAGTTAGCCCACAGGATTTTAAAAAAAGGGGACTGTAGCAGTAAAATGATCTTCATGACACCATACAGCGGAAAGACCACTGGTGTGTAATGCTGGGCAACTTAGAAAAGTAGTTCTTAGAAAGGGCAGTACTTGAAAAACAGAGAGCTTAGAAGGTCATTTCCCCTCTCTGGGACTCAGTTACCTCTACTATGAAATGACTGGGTTGGCCTAGATGATCTCTAAGATATTTTCCAGATGGCCTATATTCATGTGACCTCAGTTGACATGGACTTAGAATAGATGTTTCTGAGCCTATTTCTTCATCTGTTTAAAAAAAATTAGGCACCTCTCTTTTGGGGTCCTTGTGAAGAAGTACTTTGTAAATCTTAAATGGAAGTTAGAAGAAACATTGGAAGTCATCAAGTCCACCTCTGACATGAATGGGACTCTTCTCTAATGCATCCCTCGAAAGGGGCTGTCCAGCTTCATAAGAAATTGACTTATTGGAAGGACGGTACCATGTAGCAATAAGCACATAATACATTTTCGGTAATGATCTTGAAAACACTCAGGGCAACAGAGAACATTCCCTACCCTTCCAGGTATCTGTGAGAGAAGGCTTCTTATAAAATTTCTTCTTGAATTATATGCAGACTCCTTAGACAAAACACCTGTTGTTTCCACGAAGATTTTCCTTAAAAATTACACTAAACTGAAATCTGAACCTTTGTGAGTGCAGAAGTTCCCTGAACAATGCACAATCTAATGGTCTGTGTTGCATGGATGCCCCACATTATAATACCAAGAGCTTCAGCTCTCCTCCCACCCAAAGTCCAGACTTTATCCCTGGGAAGGAAGCTCCCTTTCCCAATGCTGGGCAACAACTCCTCTGGAAGCTCAGCATTTTAAGAGTCAAGGAGGTTCAATGACTTGCCCAGAGACATACAGCCAGTGAGCATCAGTCAGAGTACCCTGTATCTGAGGCAGAATTTCTACCCACCAGGTATCTACCTCCTGATTACCTTTTTAAATAAGAAGCCAAGAAGGCCTCACGTGGCGTGGAAAGAACTGTGAACTAGGAATTAGGAGCCCTGCATTCTAGTTCTGGTCCTGCTTCTAACCGGCTGGGTGACCTTAAGGAAGTTATTTCATCTCCTTTAGACAATTTCTTCATCTAGAAAAATGAGGTATTTCTCTTATGCTGTTAAAATTCTATTGTCTTTGCTGTGGTTCAGTCACTCAGTCCTGTCCAATTCGTTGTGAACCTGTGGACCATAGCACGCTGATACTGTGCATGGAGTTTTCTTGGCAAAGATACTGGAGTGGTATAACATTTCCTTCTCCAGTGGATGAAGGCAAACAGAGGTTAAGTGACTTGCTCAGGGTCACACAGCTAGTTAGTTCTGAGGCCAAATTTGAACTCAGCTCCTCCTGACTCCTGTTTGGCTCGGTGTCCTCATCTATAAAATGAGCTAGTGATGGAAACGGTCAGCCAATCCAGTATCTTTGCCAAGAAAACACCAAACTGGGTCACAGAGTCAGACACAACTGAAGTTCCCTGACTCTAGACCCAACACTGTATCCACTGAACCACCTAATTGCCTCCAAGGCAACCAGAGGTTAAGAGACTTGCCCACGGTTACACAGCTAGTAAGTGTCTGAGGCTAGATTTGAACTCAGGTCTTCCTGACTCCAGGCAGGGCACTTTATCCACCGAGCCTTCTAGTTACCTCTCTATTATCTTACCATCATGTAATGCCAACTGACATTTAATGGATTTTATGTGCAAATATATACTATTTCCAGGTATATATTTATATATGTATTGTGTACATATATGTAAATATATGCATACATACATATATGTACATGTGTGTATTTACTTCACCACATGTATTTCCCCAAAGGAATCTAAAGCAGATGAACTTTAAGCTAAATTTATCTCCTTAAAATGATTTTTACTTGTTCAAAACACCTAAGAATCTCATCATATAGCGAAGCCTTTCAGGATAAATCAGTAATGATAAATACTACTCTTACTAGTACTAAGTTTAACCAAAAGTCATGAACTTCCACTCTCTGTTTTCATAATGACCTGGACATGTCTGCCTACTGATTACTTAGGCAGAGACTCTAAAATCTTTAAACCTTTACTTTCAGGCACAACAGCCTAGTCATTAATTGCTAGGACTGGAGGGAGCATCTCATCAGGGCCAGCTTGGGTAGCTGACAGGTGTCAGTTTAGAGTGATGTTGGACTCTCCGCAATCAGGGTGGCATCAGAAGTAATTGTAATGTTCTCATAACCCTCAGAGACCTTCAAGATGGATATCTTGAAATGATGGATTAAGTTTCAATGATTTGGGGGTAGGGAGAACCACTGTGATAAATACATCACCCTACCATTACATATGTGTCAGGCTATGACCTAAATCAAACGTTGGGCCATTCTTACATACATAAAATGTGCAAGGTGAAATTTTCTGGAAGCAAAGTATTTTAGTGAAAAGAGACTTCATGGTTTTTAGCTTTACTCCTTGTCCCTTCTTTTTCTTCTTCATTTCTTGGCTGTGGGATTCCACTTTTTTTTTTTACAACTTGAAAACTATTTTAAAAATTAACTACACTGCCCAAGAGACTCATGGCTGAGAGGTTTGGGTAATAGGATTTCAAACCTTTCTCCTTTAGTCATGGCACAAATCTAGCCAAGGCTGGAACTGAAAACTGTGACAATCTGATAGCTGTGTTTCACATAAACTGAGTTGGATGGATATCCATATGACATTAAGCAGACTTGAGAGGAATCTAGGCACTGAGCTGTCTGGGAACACATGCTCTCCCTCAGCCTATGGAGTTTCTTGGTAGGTCAGGATCTAAAAACCCTGACCAGGTGCAGGGAGAAAGCTGGACTCAGATTGCTGACATTACACCACTTCAGAGAATTTAGACAGGAGCTCATACCATGATGCTATTAACCCTATCTCTTGTGAGCATTCGAATCATGAAAAAAGCCCTCATTCTCCTTTCTTGTCACCTTTCTCTATTAAACAATTTCAAATCCCATCTATACTTGTCTATTCTGTGTAACTTTCTTGTCCATGACAGGACACAACAGGAACTCAAGACTCACTAGCTCTCCATTCTGCAGTTCTTACAGACTTTTCTCCCTTAAAAAGCATAGCTGTCCTTCCATGTAATGATGAAAACTTCCCTAGCTTAGCTGTGGCTCGATAAAACTTTTGTTCTTTTTTTGTTATTTGTTTTTATTTAAAAGAATTTGTTTCCCTATCATAAAAATTAGACAACCACACCACCACCAGCAGCAGCAAAGTCCGTGGAGTTATGTTGATGGTGGAGAGTTCACTGGGTGTTCCCAGTGTCTCAGAGGTCCTAAAGAGTCCGTAGATGGGGAAAAGGGATGAAAAAAAAAGGGAGAAAAAGTTGAAAACAAACAAACAAAAAGCCCCATGATGGTTTCAGGGGAGGGACATCATTTGAAGGTTTCCTTTCTTCTCTCATGGTGAACTGCAGATATGTTTCAGCAGGACCCAGTCAATCTTTTCTTGAGGGATGATCCTTCATACCAGCTCAAGCACCTAATTTAAAAAAGAAAGAGCAGAATATACAAATGCCATTTAAAGCTGTAGCTGGCATAAAACTGTAAACAAGAATACCCCAATGAGACCCACTAAACCTTCTGTCCATGTCTCTAAGAACAGCCAAAGGGCACAACAGTTAGAGGGATGGATGTGGAGTCAGAAAGCCTTGAGTTTGAATCCTGCCACAGACACTGAGATGCCGTGTGACCAAAGGCAAGTCACTTAATTATAATACCTGCCCCATAGGGTCGTTGTGAGTACCGAATGTAATAATGAATATAAAGTGCTTTGCCAACCTTAAAGTATTGTATAAAATATTTATCGTTATAATCATCATCATTGGCTACTTTGAAAATACCGCAGATTTTGAAGGGATTTATCACTTGCTTTTTCTTTTTAAGAAAGAGTGTGTTATGTTGGGGGCTATAGATTCTAAAATGATGCAAGTCATTATCAGAAACTGTAAGCGAAATGGTAAATACATACTGAATGTTTGTGAATGGTAAGTCAATTTCTTTTTTTAAATGCAGTCTTTCAAATTAGTTTATTGCCATAGTTAGTTAAAGAGCCTGGAAAGTAAAGTACAACAAGTATCAGGGAGCCAGTCAATAAGCATTTATTAGGTACCTACAGTGTGCTGGGGACTAGGGATACAAAAAGACAGCCCCTGCCCTGAGAATTTCTGAGTCTAAAGGGTGAGGCAACACATAAACAGGTACGTACAAGTGGAGCGGACGTGTTGGTGCTCAGCAATTATGAAAACATTTTCAGGTGCTCAGCAGGTAGGATGGCTCCTATATGGGGGTTTTACATATTTACATGTAAAAGAGATTTTCATATTTATATAATACTAGTAGTAAAAATAATAACAACTAGTATGTATATAGTATTTTAAGGGTTACAAAGCAATTTATGTGGTTTTATCATTTGGTACAATCACACCAAAGGCAAGATCTTCAGTATGTGTCCATCCATCACCCAATCTTCCTGCTAGGAAATGGGCTGAGAAGGAGACAATGGCTCATTAGGAAGTGGAAGCCCTGGGAGGTGAAGCCAGTTCTGACTCCAAGGTCAGAGCTCCTTCTACTATACCATGCTGTTTCTCATGAAATGCACACCAGTCCCCTAGATGCACAGAATGGAGTGCACATCGTAGAAGATCACAGATACATCAGAGTATCCAAGTATATATTATTAGTATTTATTTGCTCCTTGAGTTTGTTCAATAAAAATAAGGACCGCAGGCATTATGAGTTGGGATTTTGTAGATTATTTCTTTCATTGTTTACTCAGTGAAATGATCAAATAATAAGATTTGACTTAAATCTGCCTCATTTTATTTAGCCCTCTCTTGATGAAAGATTCACTTTCTATTCATCACTGTTACCACAATCCTGCATTAATCTCTTCATTTCAGCATCAAAGATGTAACCTATCATGAGAAGCTGTGACACTGCTATTCTGTGAAATCAATCAAGAACAATAGGCAAGAATGATCAGACAAAAACAACAGACCTAGTTTGGAATGGAAATAAGAGCACAAGAGATTGGCAAAATTGTGATTTTAAAAAGTTAACTGGACATTCCGATTCCAGGTGCCAAAGATTTAACTGTTTAATCTTTTCCTTTAGCTTTTCTGGTGTTTGATTTGCCCAACAGCCTTCATAATACTTTTGGTATTACTTTATATTTGGCTAAGCAAACTAATGAAGATAAAAGGCCAAAGCTGCCGAGCAGATTCTAGGTATCATCAGTGGGACTTTGTTCACACATTATGTAGTTCTGAGAGCCAGCAGGTGTAGCAGTTTTCAAGGTCAACAATTCTAACAGCCTCAAGGACATGATTTGTAGGAGAACAAGATACAGCTTCCTTAGCAGGAGCAGGAAGACAAGGGAGAACTGAAATATGAGATGCTAGAACCTCCTCTACCTGTGGGAGTGTAACAAATGCTGATCATTTAAGAAACCTGGCTTTTGTTTAAGCTACTCGTCATTCTCTAATTAGATTTCCAAGCTAGTGAAGCAGTAGTTAGCTGAGTACAGGAGCACATAAGATAAATTAATTCAGGTAGCCAGCACTCTGACTCCCCCGCTTCCTGAGAATTTACTGACTGGCTTCCTGTTGTATGGATGAATTTGGTTTGGCATTGGTCTAGGGATCCCTAGGCCAACATTCTCTTCTTATTAACAAGCAATAGATTTGTTGGTCTTGGGAAGGACATCTATGGAAAATACAAGCCCTTAGGGCCAAGTGACGGAAGATTAGGTGTATTAATAAAAACAGCTATCTCTGTCTACTTCCACATAAGCAGAAATTACATGAAAGAGTAACTTGGAAATAAGGGAAGCTGAAGCGCTAGGTACATCCAATTGTTATAAAAAAATATTCAGAAATAGTATTTTGTAGGAATCTCATTGTTTACATACGGATTTCTAATTCCAATCAATTATGGTCAACTTCATTAGAGGAAGTGCTAACCAATGTCACGAATAAACAAAAAATATTTTCTTAGGCAAGAAAATAAGAGAGCGAAAAACTCTGTCATTAATTAAAACAATGGTATGTGTGTGTGGGGAAGTGTATTAAGGAATGTTGAGGGACATTTAAGTTTTTGATTCCCAATAACAGCCACTCTGATGACTAAATGGCTCTTGTGGCAACAGAGGTATAGAAATGGGAAAAGAGGGAAAATTCACAAAGGAAAAAAAAGAGTAAAAGAACAGCACAGCATGATTAACCTCTATGAACTCTCTACCTTGTAATTTCCTAATACAGGTTGGTCCCTGACCAGTACTACAAAAGGAGTTCTAGAGGAATTCTGATACTGTAGCAGCTGGATAGTGCCAGTGTCTTCTCCAAGGCTGAAAATTAACTGGCTCCCTCTTGCTCCCCCACCATCACCCTCCAAACTTGTGCTAGGGGCACAGCTATCATTTAAATTACAAGCACACAAGTGTCTGGGTTGCTCTTCCCTAATGGCTTATTCAAAGTGTATAAAATTCTATGACCTTTTTAACATTCTAAAAAGGGATCCATGGTTTTGTTTTGTTTTTTATGTTTTGCTTTTTGGTGAGGCAATTGGGGTTAAGTGACTTGCCCAGGGTCACACTGTCAAGTGTCCCAGTTTGGGTGATCCATGTTTAAAATGGTGATGCAATAAAAAAAAAAAACCTTACCTTAATTGTCCCCTGACTGTTAGCAGCAATCAGCACGTTGGACTCCTAGAAAAGAAAAGGAACCTTTAGTGTCTGACTGGACCATTTTGTTAGAGGGTACTAAAACTTTCAGGATATTTGCATTAAACTGAAGTGGAAAAAGATCTGGTGACTAGCTAACTACCATGAACAAGCTACTGTCTTTTGACAACTTTGGGACTACATGAGGTGTTACTTACGAGAAGACTGCCTACAATTATAAATTCTTCAAAGACAGGCAGATAAATACTTGACAAAAACAAAGTAACTGCTGGATTCACAGGTTCTTGATACCTTGGGGGTTAACATACAGATGGCAGGATATCCTTCATCTTTGCATCTGCAGCTTTGTCTGGTTTGAACACTAAGGCACAAGATGCTCCTCACCATCCTGCTTTCCAGTCTCCTTTTATGTGTTGCCTTCACCCATTAGATTGTAAGCTCCTTGAGGGCAGGGGCTGCCTTTTCTTTTTGGTATCCCCAAAGCTTAGCACAGGGCCCTGCACATACTAGGCACTTAGTAAATGTTTACTGAACTAAAAATTGACATAAAATGACATAAAACCAAATTTTGTTCTAAAAGTCTTCTCTCAACCACTTAACTGAACAGGATTAAGCTATTTTTAAGAAATATTTCTATCTATCTAGCCTAGCTATAAGGAAATATATGTGTCTGAATATATCTCCTTATATCTAATGTAGAAACAAAATTAGATTTTTAAAAAACTTCTTACAGAGGGCTGGAGACGATGAGTGCAAGGTTATCATTGTTGGGTTTGGATGATTCTATTTACATTGTGCATGCCTGGTAATCTTCGATGCCGGTGTAGTCTGACAGGGTACCGTTTTCAATAAGCTCTCTCTCAGGAAGTTACTTTAACTGCTAAATAATATGAAAATGCCAGCAGGTAATTCTTGCTTGTCACTTTCCTTTCTGGGGAACCTGCCGTCTTCCAGCAATACTCTTAGGGGCACTAAACTACAGGGGCTAGTTGCTTTTATCTTCGATATGAAAAGAAAATAGGAAAAGACAATTTGAAAATTATCATAAAGTTTGTTACTAACCAAGAGAGAGAACACAAGTAGGATGTATGCACATACACAAAGAGGATAATTTGTCTTAAAAGTCAATTTTTGCTTATATTGTAACAAAACTCATGTGATCCCTAGAAGAATATGAACAAAACTATATTTTGGATAATCCATTAAACAACTACTAAATCTCAGACATTAGAATCCGAAGGAGGCTATGAAATAAAAACTATTCTCAATGTATGTATTTTTCATTTCTAGTGACATATATATGCACAATTGTACCTAAAAATCAACCTAACTTAAATGCTGATTGTAAAGCTTACAAAAATAAGCCAAAAAAAAAGGTATGTTGTAAGTCATTCAAGTTCCAGGACGGATTTCACTGCTTATCAAAAGAATGATTTAAATATTCTATGACTTGTTAACACGGTATATACATTGCTTAAAAAAATAAAACAAAACAAAAACAGTTACATATTCACTAAATGGAAAGAATAAATATTTCTGTCATTCACCTCAGATGAAAGCTATGTTAACAAAATGGTTACTTATTGCTATTTTTTTTTTGGAGAAATATATAAACTACTATTCAGTTGTGTTAACATGTTGTCTCTGTACCATTCCCCCCCCCAAAAAAATGTCAACCTTTCAACAGGTAGTACTTACAAAAAAACAAAGGACCTCATCTTGATAATGGTACTAGGGAAAACTGCTTCCTTTTCCTAAGGGCTTGCTAGTCTTTTGGGCCACCATCAATAATATTCAGCGTATTAGAAAAATTTTAATAAATAGCCTGTGTTGTTAAGCAGGAAAAATACCTTCAAAAAGTGTGCTACTACCATCAGACCCACTATTTCTTCACATTGGGTAACAAAAACAGAGATTGTTGTTGTGCCATGTTAATCCTAGGGGATTCTTTCAAAACCATTTGTAATTGTATTCAAGTATGCTAGTTCAAGGGGAAACATTTATAAACTTCAGGAATATTAAAAGTGCAAAAGATGATGGTGGGGGAGTGCTCTTTTGCCACTAAAGACAGAAGAATAGGTGGATCTAAAATCTAAACTGTAACACACAAGAATATATTAGATGACTAGAACAATTTTCTCAAAGTGTCGTGTTACATTTCAGAAGGGTAATAAACACTTCTTCTTGGAAGAATTTAACATAAGTCCCTTTAAATCAGTGAATATGTGTTAAGTATTTATAATAATTACTGGCTGACAGAACTCTACAGAAGTCAGTTAACAAGCCATTATGCTCACTATGTGCCAGGCACTGAAGAACTAGGGATACAAAGGAAGACAAAAACCCAGTTCCTGTCCCCAGGATCTCTTTTTAATGGCAGAGACAACGATACTGCCAAGATAGACATTGTAAACACGAGGTGATCTCAGAGGAAAGACACTGGCAGTGAGGGAAGACCAGGAAAGGTGTCCTGCAGGGTTTGCACTGAAGGAAGCTGCGGCTGGAAGTGAAGAAGGAGAACACAGGGGGAAACGGGAGCACAAGGGGTGGTCAATGAAAAGGCTTCAAGTCAGGAGATGAAGTGTCATTTGATTATAATACATGTGAAAAAGAGTAAAGTGTAAGAAGAGTGGAAAAGAAGGACAGGTTGTGAACAGCTGCTCTCATTTACCTCATTGCAGTGGAATGAGGTATTCCACTTCATTTTTCCAAATAACTGTAGTGAACTCTTGTTTTTACATTGAATATTTTCAATAAAATCTTGTTAAATGTAATACATATTTCCTTGATTTCTTTAACAGCATCTTATACCTGATTTAACCTGTTCTTGAGAGTTCTGGGTCATAACTACAAAGATCAAATACTGTATTATGCTATGATACTCTCGGCTATCAGTGAGGACTCGCTCTCTAGTGTATGATTCTACAATATTCTGTCTCTTTTCTCACAGTCTCAAACTCTGCCCTTATATTTGAGGACATCTACATAAATGTCAATGTACCCTAAAACATGCTAGTTTGTATTATCTCTAGTGCTTAATATACAATAAGGACTTAATAAATGCTCCCTCTATTTATTATTACTGTATCTATATACTAACTAAGCATCAACATATCTACCCTACCACCTACTTAACTACCTACGTACCTGGTCACTATGCTACTCAAACATCCTCAGTAACTCCCTATTACCTCTAGGATAATATGCAGATCTCTCAATCTTGGCATTTAAAGCCCTCCATAACTTAACTCTTATCCACCTTTCCAGTTTTATTTCCTATTACTCCCATTTGCTGCTCTCTACTCTAGTCAGGTCTGGTAGCAGTTCCCCACACATGACTGTCCCTTTCCCACTTCCGCCTCTTTGTCCAGGCTGCCCCCACCTTTGGGAATATACTCCTCACTTCTGCCCCCAGAGAATCCCTACCTTACTTCAAAGCACAGTTCAGAGCCACCTCCAGATCGAGTCTTTCCTGATTCTCCCAGTCACTGGCATTCTCTCCCCTGGAGATTACTTTGTATTACTTCTTTTCCCAACCCCTCTGAGTTCCAATGCCTTCCCTCTCTTAATTGTTTCCCATTCACCCTGTCTATAGTTTGTTTGTACTTCTTTGTTTGCTTGTTGTTGCCTCATTAGACTGTGAACTCCTTAAGGGCAGGGCCTGTTTTTTGCCTCTCTGTATCCCCAGTGCTTCTCAAGGTGCCTGGCACATAGTAGGGGCTTAATGAATGTTTACTGACTGAGGTAAAGGAAAAGACAGTTGGACCATCCTATTGTCCTTACTGAGTTCAGGTAAACAGGCTTGGATAAACTGGTGAATTTGACTGCTGAGGCAGTATGAATGATCTTTGAAGGATTATGGATGATGGGAGAGGTTTAGCGGTACTGAAGACATACATAAATTACAATTTTAAAAAACTGAGATAAGTCAGAATCAAAAAACAATTGGCCAATGAGACTGACTTTGGAAAGTTTCTCTCTGGAAAAATTCTAGAACATATTATCAGAAAGATGGCTTGTGAAGATGTAGAAAAGGAAGTGATTACTAAAAACTAGCTTGATTTCATCAAGAACAGAATATGCCAGACTAAATGTTTTTTTGGACATGTTTACTCAACCAGCAGGTTAAGGGAAAGCTGTAGATATGGCTTAATTAAATTTCAGCAAAGTATGATATTGTCTCTCATAATATCCCAGTAGATAAAACAATGAGATTTCCATTAGGTAAGACTATAATTAGAGGGACTGAGAACCTGCTGAATTACTGAACCTCAAGGACAGTCATTAATAAGTTAATGTCAAGTTGACAGGAAGTCTCTAGTGGAGTGCCCCATGGACTGTTCTTTGCTCTGTGCTTTTTAACATTTTTTATTAGTAACTTGGATGAAGATGGCATGCTTATCAAAATGGAGATGGCACAAAGCTAAGAGGAATAACATGATAGATGACTAAGGATTCAGAAAGACTCTGACAGGCTGAAATGATGGGCTGAAACTAATGAAGTAAATTTGATGGGGATAAGGTTTTTTTTTAAAGGATTAATAAATCAACTTTACAACTATAAGATGGAAGAGGCATTACTAGATAGCAGTTTAGATGAAAAGGTTTCAGTGTCTTAGAAATTTGACCTTCCAGCTCCCCCAAACAAAACTGAGATCTCCCTTTAGTAAGATTTCTTGGAGAGTGTTGTAGAGGGGAGTCTTGGGCATGCTAGGGTTGGGCTGCATTGATCTAGATGGCTTCTAGGGAGAATCAACACTGTGTAGTGGGAAAAGATTTGGAGTCAAAGGATCTGAGTTCAAACCCTGGCTCCATATTTCACTACTTTCGTAACAAGTCACACTTTTTTGGGTCCATATTCATTTATAAAAATAGGAGGGTTAGATTATAATCCTTCCAAACTCGAAGATTCTATGACTTGGTGATTCTGTGACAATTTTCCAGGTAGGAGGATCATTGTACAGAATGGAAAACAAAAAATGACATAAGCTCTACAGGCTCAAATTTTTCAAGCTGAATTTCAT